GCAAAGCCTAAGAAGCGCGGGAATCCGCCCGGTGCCCCTGGTCTGCTGGGGACGGTCTCCAGCAGACCAGGGGCACCGGAGCAGCTTACGAACGGGGCTCTCTCGCCCCGGAGCTCGCAGGTAGCAATCCGCTACCTCGACCTCCGGGGCTAGAAAGCCCCGTTCGTAAGTGCGGATCCGACATAAGTCGGATCCGCGTAAGTCGGGGACTGCCTGTATATTAAAACTTTTAACTAGAGTAATCCTGAAACACCTGTATAACAATATGTTTATGAACAGACAGCTATTGGCCCATACACAGAAGCTTGCTATATGCAGCAGACTTCACAGCTTTTATCCTTGGAGGGAGAATATTCAACACCATGTAATTTATCTAAGACTTATATTTAACCAGTGCTCTAGTTAAATAAGAATTAGATACTCTGGGCACAACCGACATTAAAACAGCACTGTCTACACAATAGATGTTTTCGTGTATACTAATTTGCTCCAGCCACTTTCCAACTATTTTCACAGAATTCTATTCTTGAGAGCCAGTTTTGCTAAATATTTGACACTGAGCTTCTCATACAGTTGCCCTACATATTCTTTCCAGAACAAATAAAAGTATACTAGAGCAGTAGCAGTAGTTCCCAACCTTTCTTGAGCATACACACTCCTTTTTCAATCTGTTAAAATTTTATAGACCCTCCCCCAACGGAAGTGGCGCTAAGTGGTGGCCAGTATGTCCCTTGGTCTGCACTGCTTCCTGAGCTCCCGCCCCTCCCCACCCCCGCCCCCTGCTCATCCACAGAGGATACAGTGAGGGGACTCTCATGGCCAAAGGTAGCTCCTGCTCCAGCACTCTGCCCTGCACTGAGCATAGAGCCTGGGGGTGGGGGGAGGGAGGGGGGAGAGGAGGAAAGCAAAGAAAAGGAAAAGGAAGGCTAGGGCCCCACTGTGGGTCTGGGAGGGGGAGAGAGCTGGAGCATAAACAGCAGCACAGCTGGTGGCAGGACGACAGATGGTGCCTCCTGGAGTATCATGATCCCATCCGGAGGGCAGGTGGCAGCGTGCATATGGCTGATTGTGAATGGTGAGCCCAATATGAGAATCACTTGGCAGAAAGTCCCAGTCCTGTAGTGGGCCCAATCCTTACTTTTCTTTTCTTTTCCTAAACTTTCAGTGGACCCCCTACAGTATCATCGCAGACCACCAGGGGTCCGCTGACCACAGGTTGGGAACCAATGTACTAGCGAACAAGTCAGAAATGCAATGGAAGCAAGCCAAAATAGTGTTCAAGTTCTGTCACTAGAGGGCAGTCTGATATCTAAAAATCAGAAAGTCTCTATTGCAGATATTAAAACGGGACAGATTTTCTTCAAAACCACTTCCACACATTTAAACCAATGTATCCCAAGCATACATACCAACAGATGTACAGTGTTGCTGTACTGATGGATTCAGATTGTATGCCATCGCTATAGGGTCCATGTTAAATAAAGTACTGAAAAGGAAAAAAAATATTCTCAGTCAGGCTATGTCTAGATTATGGGGTTTTTGCGTGATATTGGAGTATCCCGCAAAAACCTCGCTGCATTCAAGGAATGTGTTTGCTCTTCTGCTTTTTTCATGGAAGAGCAAATGCACTCTTCCGAGGAGCCCTGTATACCTTGTTTCACAAAGCATAAGGGCTCTGCTGAAAAAGGAGGCTTTTCCGCTATTTGGCCCCGTCTAGCCTGGACCAAATGGCAGAGACGCCACTTCTGGAAAAAAGGAGTGCAATTTGTGTAGCTTTTTCCGATAAAGCCCTGTAGTCTAGACCTAGGGTAAGTGAACCATGAACAAGCACCAATACCACTGATTGTGTGTACCTGTCACATACATGATAAGAACTCAAATCCATATGCAACTTACTTTTCAAACCCGTCATGGCTGCTCCAGCAAGCTTTCAGGCTCCCCATGTCTTGGCCATTATGGAGAAATCTAGTCTTTAATGGAACTCTTAACTCCTGAGCAGCAACTCCTGCAGTTGACATTGTGCCTTGTGCTTTGCAATTCCCCCAAACTTTAGAAATCCACAGTTCTCGCCAGGTGTCCTGCAGCTTTCATGCCCTTCAGAAAAGAGGATAGTAAGTACCACTAAAAACAAATGAGAGAGAGTGTCCCATTTAAAATGCCACCCAACTCTTTGAATTACAGTGACACCTTTGTGTGAGGGTCCCTCTGACCCAAACATCTTCTGAAAAAGAAGAAATATTTCACACATTGGAAGTGTTTGCACTTCTGTTTCTGGGACAGTAACCACAAATCCAATAATTAGAATAAGTTCTGTAAGGTTTGGGGGGGGAGGGGGACACATCAACCCAAAGACTTTCAATTTCCGTACAACTGGTGTTCAATACAGTTTTATGCCAGCAAAGTCAGACTGTGCATACAGACCAATAGTTACTAAGGCACACCAATTTTGCCAAAACATGCAAACACTTGTGTCACACTGTATTAGACAAATCTCCCTCTGTATTACTGTGATAAGGAGTTACTTTGCCAAGGGTTTTAACCTAAAAGGAAGCCAAAGCACAACAGCCACACTTCAAAGATAATCCTGTCAGAGTCATTCTGATAGATTGAGTATAAAGTGACTGCTTAAATAAAACACAAAAACAAAAAGCCCTTCAAGTGTTAACTACTAGAAATTCATTTGCCAGTCACACAAGGTTTCCGCTTCATGCATCATCTCAACATTCCAAGCTATTGTGTTGAGCAAATCTAAACAAAATAGAGTCATCCTTTTCTACTGAGGCTTGTTTTGAATGTGTGCACAATAGTTTAGGAGGCGCATTCACAATGGGAAACAGATGTTCTGGCAAACATTTGAAATTCATTTAGAAGTTGTAACCTATGGAATATGTTGCTTTTACAAGTAACCCCCCAAAAAAGTTAATGGAGATTGCCTATCTCCTAGAACTGGAAGGGACCTTGAAAGGTCATCGAGTCCAGTCCCCTGCCTTCATAGCAGGACCAAGTACCATCCCAGACAAATTTTTGCCCCAAATCCCTAAATGGACTCCACAAGGATTGAACTCACAACCCTGGGTTTAACAGGCCAATGCTCAAACCACTGAGCTATCCCTCCTCCCAGAAGCAGAGACCACTGACACGTAAGATTGAATCAAGTCTGCGCTACAGCCTTAGCTGAGAGCCAAGCTGGCTTTTAAGCTCACTCAATAGCAAGTTAGAGAAATGGTCAGAGGTAAACAGGATGAGGTTTAATAAAGAGAAATGCAAAGTGCTCCACTTAGGAAGAAACAATCAGTTCCATACATACAATATGGGAAGCGACTGTCTAGGAAGGAGCATGGCGGAAAGGGATCTAGGGGTCATAGTGGACCACAAGTTGAATATGAGTCAACAGTGTGATGCTGTTGCAAAAAAAGCAAACATGATTCTAGGTTGTATCAACAAGTGTGTTGTAAGCAAAACTCGTGAAATCATTCTGCCGCTCTACTCTGCCCTAGTTAGGCCTCAGTTGGAGTACTGTGTCCAGTTCTGGGTGCCATATTTCAAGAAAGATGTGGAGAAATTGGAAAGGGTACAGAGAAGAGCGACAAGAATGATTAAAGGTTTAGAGAACATGCCCTATGAAGCCAGGCTTCATGAACTGGGCTTGTTTAGTTTGGAAAAAGGAAGATTAAGGGGGGACATGATAGCGGTTTTCAAATATCTAAAAGGGGGTTACAAGGAGGAAGGAGAAAATTTGTTCCTCTTGGTTTCTGAGGACAGGACAAGGAGTAATGGGCTTGAAGTGCAGCAGGAGAGGTTTAGATTGGACATTAGGAAAAAATTCCTAACTGGCAGGGTGGTCAAATATTGGAATAAATTGCCAAGGGAGGTGGTGGAATCTCCCTCTCTGGAGATATTTAAGAACAGGTTAGACAGACATCTGTCAGGGATGGTGTAGATGGAGCTTGGTCCTGCCTTGAGGGCGGGGGGCTGGACTCGATGACCTCTGGAGGTCCCTTCCAGTCCTATTATTCTATGATTCTAATAGAGGCACATGGCTTTAGCCCTTAAGGTCACAGGTTCAATCCCCCCTGCCAATGATCTGTGTCTTGACTTTACACACTTTTACTTGTGTGAACCCAGCTAGTCTCTCCCCAGTGTCTAAAAGATCAGCTGTACATTCTGGACATTGGAGAAACTGCAGCTCAGTGAAACAAAACTGCATAAAGTGAGAAGGATTAAACAGAACAAGGCAGGGGAACCTCAGTCTACTCACCCAAATACAGAGACTAAACACCCTCAAATGACTTGAGCAGCCACTGTACAAGTCAGGGCAAAATAAAGAGAGATTTTACTGAACAGGATTATTGCACATCTCTGGGTACCTGAAAGGAAATTCTTTCCAAAAAATAAAGCCAGACCTGGGTTTGGGACCAGATCATTCTCTGGCATGCTTTAAGGGATTAAATACTCTGTACTATTGGTTAGCTTGGCTCTCCCCTGCCATTCATCATTCCACTCTCTAGAACAGTGTTTCTTAAACTTTAAGACCAAGGAACACCAAACAATATTTTTTTTTAATGGGAAAGACCAAATTTTTTTTGTTAAGAAAAAAAAGGACGCTCTTTAAGGGTGGCCATTCCCCAAGGAAAAGTTGAGAAAAAAGAGGCTTGTCCCTTTAAGGGCAGCCATTTTAAAACTGTTCTTTCTGCAGCACACCTCCGACTGCCTCGTAGCACACCGGTGTGCCGCAGAACACACTTTAAGAAACACAGCTCTAGAAAGCATGGGTAAGGCTTTGTCTATGCTTTAAACTGGAAGTGTGGCCATGGCATGATCATTGGGAGCGAGAGCTCCCAGGGTTTTATGTATATTCCCTCCATGAGGAGGGGCAGCTGTAGCCTGGTGCACACCAGTGCTTTACATCAGTGTTTCTCAACTTTTTTTTTTTTAAATAAAGTACCCCTTAAAAAATTGGAAGTATCCCCAGTACCTACGGTTTTCAAACAATTTTTTTCCTCTATCATTGTAACACATGTGTTTAAACAACTTAGTCATCACTGGGCAGGCGATGACATTTTTTGGGGGTAAAAAGTACAAAAATAATAAAGTGCTGTGTGGCAAGGGTCCCTCTTCTCCAAGCCACTACTGGGGTTTTGCAGCAGGTCTCAGTGGTAGGGAGCCCAAGCCAGGGGTCCACAGGCTCCCTCCCCTGCTGCCTTTACCTAATGCTGGTCCAACTTGTTCTCTCCCTTTCTTCCTCTCTGCCTCTCCACCACCTTCCTTTCATCCTCTCACTCCTCTCTCCAGCCTCCAACTGATGAGGCTTTTAAAGGCCCTCAGAGAGACAGTAGAGAAGTCAGCTGGCCCCAATTTGCCTGAGCCAGCTCCCTCCCAGCTGCACCTAATTGTGCTGCAGTTCTCTGCTTTTCTAACAGGAGTTTTTCCCTTTTGGGCTGCCTTTTCTTCTCTCTGCAGCAGCTCCCTGGCCTGACCCTGTCACAGCTGTAAAACTTAAAACAAAAATTCAGTTTTCTCCAAATTTCAGTTGTGTTGATGTAGCCCCCTCTGACTTCTCTTGAGTACCCCTAAGGGTACTCGTACCACTGGCTGATAACCACTGCTTTATAGCACCATAACTCACTACACTTGGGGGTGTTTTTTCACACCCTTTAGCCAGAAAGTTACAGCGTTGTAAAGTGCGAGTACAGACTTTGCCTAAGAATAAGTAAGGAGCCTACCCGTTCTTTAGCGAAAGACAGTTTGTGCCCAAGAAAAACAATTCAGGAGTGATAATGTGTTCTTCTATACTGATAAATTAACCTCTCGGTTCCTGTTACATTGCAAGAGGGAGGGTACACAGCCATCTGCAGCTGTAGGGGCACGTAGTGCTCAAACCTAAATATGGATCAAGGCAAGCTCTGCAGAGGTTTAACTCTTCTTGCTGCTAAATGGGCAACAAATATATTTTCTCTGCTTCAGTTTCCTCAAGTGTAAAATAGGGGGAAAATACGGATTATTCTTCCTCACAAACGTGAGGAGGATGAACGTCTGAAAAATATATTGAGACTGTACACAGAGATGTTTGTAACTCTTGATGAGAGTCAATAATAAAAGACAAGACAGCATGGCGTTTTTACAAACCATAAATAACCATGTTTATTTTTGCACCAACACAGTCAATGCAAGTGTTGGTGGTTTCTTTCTTTCTTCCTTCCTCAACCCAAGTGTTTTAGACATGATGCAAAAATTGTGATGGGAGAACATCAACTTTTCTGGATTAGTGGAAGACTGAAACTCTGCCATTTTTTCCTATGGCAGCATTTCACCATGGTCTTAAACTATTTCAGCTTTTCTAGTTCAATAGAAAATATATATATTAAAAAAAGAGAACAAACTTAACTATGAGACATTACAATGAAGTATTTTTAGCTTTATCCAATTCATTCATAAACTATTAAATGAAGTTAGACACACTCCTAAAAAGGGAAGCTAGGATAAATACAAATATTGTATTTACATAATTTGTTTTTTTTAAAATAAGCCAATTTAAAATTAAATTTCAAATTATGAAAACAAAGGAAGGAAATATACAAAAACTAAGCAGTACATCTTCACAGCCACATATTAAAGAAAAATTATACTACTAAATCAGTACAAAACACTGGCTAAGTACCTCTTCTGCAACTGGAGAGAATATTTTCTTCATTTCAGTTTATTCAACTAGTCAGTTCAATGATTAATTTGGGAGGTGAAAAAGCAGGAAATTTTTCTTTAATCTATAATCAAGAGGAGGTGAAAGGATGAGATCGACTAGTTCTAAAGTTCTGAAGGACATAGTGACCTGAAGCCATTTCACTTTATTAATGTTTCCTTTGTTGAATAAATCAAATCAATGTGCAAAAAAAGGTGTATAAACAGCATTTTAAATTGAATTCCAATTTCTCTACAAATAGAACTCGACACAAATCAGAAGAAAAAACCTGTAGAAATTCACTGTTTTCTAATAAAATATAAAAGCTATTCGCCTGAATAAAATGTGTTAAGCTAATAGAATTGCTTAAATAAACTTGCAGAGCTACAGTGTATGCTCCTGGTTAACAAGAAGTACC